AAAAATAGTTGTTGTTAATATCAGCTCTTTTAAGTTAGGCACACTGTTGGCACTACCCATGCTGAGTTTGACTGGCATTTAAAATCTCTCTCCTGGTGTAAACTGAAACAAACAAAAAACCCTGTACATAATATCTATCAAAATTTTAAATTCAAAAGATTGAAAGAGCAGCAAGTGATTGCAACAATGTGCAATAACCCAGAACTCTCATAGACTGTTGGCCAGACTGCAAATGAAACAATAATCTGGGAAAGCTGTCTGGCATTATATACTCAAGGGGGTCACATGCATACTCCCTGCAGGCCCACTCCCAGATATGTATCTCAACAGAAACGTCCACACATGTTCAACCAACAGATACACAGGAGAATATTCACACCAGCACTATTCATATTAGCTCAAAACTAGAAACTAACCAAATGCTTATCAACAGAAAAATGGATAAATTCTGGTACATTCACACAATGCAATATTATAAACAAACTACAAATATACCTACAATATGAATGACTTACAATATACAGTTGAGACTCTTATAAAGTGGAAGTCAGACACAAAAGAGTGCATACTGTATGATTTCATTTCTATAATGCTTAAAAAGTAGGTAAAATTAATTTATGATGTTAAGTCAGGACAGCAGCAGTAACTGAAGAAGGCATGAGAGGGCTTCTGGGGCACTAAAAATATCCTATTTCTTGACCTGCGTGCTGGTTACATGAATTTCAGAAAATTCATCCAGTTGTATACTTAAGATATGTAAACTCTTCTTTATGTATGTTAAGTTTCAATAAAAAGTATTGTTTTTATGTAGACAGGAAGGCATAGACACAGAGCAACAAATCATGAATTTGGTATTAGAGAAGCAAGTATTTGTAGATGAAGAAAAAACCCTCATCCATCCTTTTCTATAAGATGTAATGAAATTCCCACAGATTAAGGAAGCATATTTATATTTTATTACCGAGATACCTACAAAAGATTCCATCACAGGTCAAACAGTACACCTAAAGGAAGGAAAGACTGCTAAATAAATACCTTGGAAAGGTAAAAGAAATTTCAAAGTAACAAGAAGCTAGGAAGATTGAATCAAAACTCATCCAGGACTATTACAAAAGCCCTGTGTTTCAGTTTAATTAGAAGTGCATATTTTTCTTGGTGAACATGAAAAAATGGTAAATCTTACAACAACTTGGATTAGGCTATTTTCTCTTTTCTTACTTGTTTGCCAAATACAAACTAAACACAATACAATGACTACAGAGGTTATAAACATGTCCCTGCCTTTATAAGGTTTATCATATATATTAAAGAAGCTAAAACAACCAGATGAACAGCTCTTACAGCTTTAGAATGATACCGGGGCGGGGGGGGGGGGGGACCCGAGTGGTTCAGTCAGTTAAGCATCCGACTTCAGCTCAGGTCATGATCTCACAGTTCATGAGTTTGAGCCCTGCCTTGGGCTCCGTGCTGACAGCTCAGAGCCTGGAGCCTGCTTTGGATTCTGTGTCTCCCTCTCTCTCTGCCCCTACCCTGCCCGTGCTCACTCGCTCACTCTCTCTTTCTTTCAAAAATAAATAAACATTAAAAAAAAATTTTTTTTAAGAATGGTACTAGTAGTAGAAGTATAAAGTTTTGTTTTCTCAGAGCACACAAAAAGGGAAATCTCTTCCTGCTAATGTTACAAATTATAAGAAAGCTTTTCAAAGCATCCAGACTGTGCTGTCCAATACACTATCCATTGGCCACTTGTGGCTATTTAAATTAAAATTCAATAAAATTTAAAATTTAGTTCCCCAGTATTACTTAACCGCATTTCAAGTGCTCCGCAGCCACATGTGGCCAGTGACACATGTACTGGGCAGTGCACAGAACACTGTATTCCAGAGTCAGAAAGATGCACAGATAGGTACCTAAGGACAGCTTAATCTAATATTTGGGCAAAAATACTTTTCAACCCTGTAGCCATTTTTCCATATTTCCTTTGACATCACAATGGCAAAACCGGCCACTCTGGTCTGGGGACCAAACTAAAACTATAAACCTAGGGAAAAGAGCTGAAGCCTTAAAGTTACAGGAGTAAAAACGAATATTCACAAGCTCACCAGAATTCAACTTAGTTCACCAGAGTGAAAATTTACCCAAAGCTTCAGCTAGAAATAAATGAAGCATTACCTTGCCTAATCTTTAATAGCTAATTGAAGACTGGGGGTGCAGGATATAACTTCGAAGTCAGTCAATAAACGTACTACTAGAGGAGTCTATTCATTAAGAAACATTTGCTGAGCACCTTCTATGTGCCACACATAACCGGTAACCAGGAGGAATAAGAGCATTAAGTCACTAACTCTATTCAGCAAATAGTACAGTAGCTTAAGAATCACAAACTCCTGGGGCCCCTGGGTGGTTCAGTTGGTTAAGTGTCTGACTTCGGCTCAGGTCATGATCTCGCAGTTCATGAGTTCAAGCCCCGCATCAGGCTCTGTGCTTACAGCTCAGAGCCTGGAGCCTGCTTTGGATTCTGTGTCTCCCTCTCTCTCTCTCCCCTGCCCCCGCTCACACTCTGTCTCTGTCTTTCAAAAAACAAGTAAAATGTTAAAAAAAATTTTTTTTAAATCACAAACTCCTACGCAGGGAAAAAAACAACAAATTCTGCTTATCTGTGGTTCTTCAGAAACGCAAGGAGAGAAGTGACAATGTGCCATTTCCAGCATATTCTCTGAGAGTTGTTGATTCCTATAGTACCCAATGCCCATTAATCTGAACTAGTCACAATGATTTAGCAAAAAGCAAAGAAGGAAGAGTCCTTTCCAAAAAAAAAAAAAAAGAAATGAATTGCAGTTTATCAAACCTATATTAAGCTATTAAAGAAAGAACAACCCTTGCCAGAAATACCATAATCTCAAAGCATATCCTTAAAAGGAAACATCAACAAATCAACATTTATCAAACAACTCCCAAGAAGTACACTGGGAGCTAGAGGGACATAAAGATAGTCAAGCAGTCTCCACCTCCCAAAGCTTTCATCTTCTTTGGGAGATGAAACGTTCATGAACAATTACAATGTAAGCAAATGCTGTAAGTGCTATACCCATGAAACAACTGCAGTACAAACTGTAAGCTGAAAGGACTTTGGAAGTCTTTTGTCCAAACCTCTCCCTTGTCTGAAATCCATTCTACAATATTTTTATAAAACATGTATTCAATCTAAGTACACCAGGGATGAAGATATCACAGCCTCACAGGCAATTCAGAAGCAATGGAAGCTAGGAGCCACAAAGAGGCGAAGAGTTTACATTCAAAGAGATGATGTTTAGAAATAAGAACTTGAAAGTCAAATGACAGCAAGTAAATACAAAACCAATTATGAAGAACAATACACTAAAAGAGCACTATTAGCACAGGGTCCATTATGACACAAATCCAGAGAAAAAGCAATGGGACATTGTAAAATCATTCCCAACAAGAGTTTTGATTATCAAAGGGGGTGGGGGTAGAATAAATCAAGGTGAAATTCTATTCTATCTGCCCCTAAAACCACCCACTCTTCCCTAGCTCTCCCTGCTCTGTAGGACACTTTTATTTTCACCTGAGCCAAGAGAGGAAGAGAAACTGGTATTGACTCATTAGCTACAATACGTCAGGCATGAATTCATATGTCATTGAATATATGTAGAATAAGAGCGATACTGGGGATTTGGAGCTCCTCCGAGGTGGGCTCAAGGAAACTGACCTAGAAGCCAAATTTATTATTCTATTTTAGAAACATTTAGAAGGCAGCTTAACAAAGAGGAAAGAGTAGCAGAGACCTAAAGACAGAGGTCTGTACTTGGGATCTGGTCCTGCATGTGACTGCAAAACTTGTTGGGCCTCTCTGGATGTCATTTTCTTCAGACCTACCCCATCCACCTTACAGAATGTTCTAAGAACCAAAATGGAATACATACGTAAAAGGATTCTGTAAACACAACACATCATTGATATCTATTTATTCATCTAACAAGTATTTGCTGAACATCTATAATATTCTAGACTCTGGGCAAGGTCCTTGCTCTCATGGTTGTGTTCTCTAGTAGGTGGGAGATAGATAACCAACACAAACAAATGAGTGAATAAGAATTTCCAAGAGTGATAAATGCTCTCCAAGAGTGATAAATGCTCTAAAGAAAATAAAACAGGTGATGTAAAAAGAGTGACTAGGAGAAAGGGAACCACTTTCAATGGAATAGTCATAGAAAGCCTAGCCAAAATTCTATCACTGAGACCTCAAAGACTTCTTCAGCGAAATAAAGAGTTGGGGACATAAGAAATAAGACAAGCTTAGCATGTATGAAGCACTGAACAAATGAGGTATGTCTGGAACACAGTAGGTAAGGAAAAGTATTAAGAGATAAGGAGGGAAAAGTGAACACGGGCCAAATCCGGTATGGTCTTGGACCATTAAAAGGATATGATAATTACCATAAAGCTCTTTTCTTTATCAACATGGCCCAATAAACCGAGCCATTCATACAAATATCTCAAGTATACATTATCAAAAGTAGGACGCTTCCAACTTTCTAACTTAGCAATGACATCACTAAAAAACAAGTGGAAGGATCTATACAATGGCCCTAACATGAAATTTGTAAGAACTATATCTAAACAAAGACATCATTTATTATGTTTGGTTAACACAAATAGTCAAAAAAAAAAAAAAACCCTCTATAGTAAATAGAACTGACAGAATTATAGAATTTGAGTTAAAAAAAAAATTTGAAGTTTTAACAGAGAAAATATCAGTTCCTTCAGCAAACATTTATCAAGCACCTACTATGTGCCAGGCATTTTCTAAGCACAAAAGATACAGCAAAATAAATCAATGAAAATTTAAGCAGTAAGTAAGCGAAGATTTAACTGTAGAAGTATCATAATACCAGAACTGAATTTGAACTTCTGCCTCAGCATTTTCTGAAACAGGAGTTGTAGGCTTAGTCAGTGTACCTGTCAGAAATCAAACTTACCAAGGAATTCTTAATCACTTCACTTCTATAAAATTCTGGAAAAGAAGAAAAAAAACAATAAGTGATATGAAAGAAAATAAGCTCATTAACTCTTAATCCTGCAAATTTTTAACATTTGTTCCAGTAAAACATTTGTAATATTTTCAAGGGATCGAATTTCCCTATATTTTCTACAAAAATTATTTTTCTGCAAAAAAATAAATAAACATAAATTAAAAGATTTTAAAGGAAAAAAACATTAATAAAGAAAAATCAAAGCTTGTTAAGATTTAATTTAGTAAATTTTACCCCAGATACAAATTTGAGCCCTTAGAAGTTTAGACTTTCTTCTCTCCTACCTTATGGCCACTCTGCAAAAACTGATTCCATCTGCTCTGTTTTTCTCAAACATCTCTAATATGATCATCCATCATAGTACTGTGGAACGGACAATGATCTAGCAACCAGGTAACCTAAGTTCTACTTCTACCTGTCATTAACATTCTGTCTCTTTAATCTCCTTGGGCCCATTTCTCATTAGACAACTTAGAGAATTAGACTAATAAGCAAAGGTCCTCTTGCAAGCTTTGAAATTTCATGATTCTACAAACCTTCATGCGTATTGTACATGTTAACAAAACCTGAAGGCACAATCAAGAGAGAAATGTCTCAGATAGTCACACAAACATCGCCTCTTCTGACCCTGCTGAAGTCACCATTGTGATGCTCTGTCTCTCAAGAGCTTACAAGGACCCTGGTACCTTGTGTTGCTATAAGAGAAATTTCCCAGGTGTGATGCACATACCACTGGTACTTGAGATGATTTTAGGTGATACACGGACACACTTACTTTTTTCTTACGTATTTGAATTTATGTTTCATATATTCATCAACCCCCAATTGTAAGCTCTGAAAGGACAGGAGCAATTGTTTTGTACAACTGCTGTCTCCTCAGCACGTAAAACCATTCCTGGCACAGAGCAGACACTCAATAAATATTTCGTAATTAAATGAACAATTTTACTTAGACATAAGTTTAAAAATAAGGAACTTAAACATATAAAGTATGCAACATTATAGATGAAACTCAAATATAGTGAAACATGCCAAAGAAGTCCATGACTGAAGCTTAGGACTAGTCAGGCAATAAATGAATAGCAGGCCTATGCACACATAAAACTCCAATGGGCAAGCTCTGGGTAAAGCACTTCTTGATATACTCCTTATATTACTGTAGGTTTGTCTTTCTTAAAAAAAATTAAAAAGATAAGGATGATCATTTTATTCCGTGGAGAGATAGTCACAATGTATTAAGTAGGGGAAAAAGTTCCAAAATAAAATTTACAACAGGATCCAAATTTTTATAATTATGTTAATAATGTTTATCTTAGGTGATAGAATTAGGCTGCTAACTTTTTCTACTTGGCAGTTTCTATTTTTCTATTTTGAACAATTATTTAAAATAAGAAAAGGAATAATTCTGGGGTGCCTGGCTGCTCAGTCAGTCAAGCGTCTGACTTTGGCTCAGGTCATGATCTTGCGGTTCATGAGTTCAAGCCCCATGTCGGGCTCTATGCTGACAGCTCAGAGCCTGAAACTTCAGATTCTGTGTTTCCCTCTCTCTCTGTCCCTCCCCTGCTCTCTCTCTCTTTCTCTCAAAAATAAATGAACATTTAAAGAAAAAAAAAGAAAAGGGGTAATTCTAATTGTTTTTAAAAGGACTCCTCTGCTGATGAACATTCAGGTTACTGGTAATTTTTAGATATTTCAAGTAAGTTATAAATAAACAATCATTTAGAGATATATATTCTAGACCCTTGAATCTATAAGATAAACATTTAGAAGTAAAATGCAAGATTAAAGGAAAAATAGTTTGTGTCTAATAGATATTACCATGTTGTTCTCTAAAAGTACTGTACCAATTTATAATCTTACTTGTGAAAATCCCAACATTAGACAACCCTAAGTATCATTCTTTTCATTTTTCCCATATGATTAATCAATTACTCCAACCATAAATTAACTATAAAAGTTTATGTGTGTAGGTGTATGTGTGGGTGTATTCTACTTTATGTCTAGCATGTTTATTTTTAGGGGGAAAGACTAAAAGGGCTTAAAAAATGTTTTTTTATTACAAAGTACTTTCATGTTATACTTAATTTATTTTTGTATTGTTTGAATTTATTGCAAGCATGTACTACTTTAAAATCAATGGGAAAAAAAGATATTCCTCTTTTCTTTGGAGAGAATTCCTCAATTTAATCTGCAAAGTGTCTAAATTAAACAGTTCCCAAAATATATATCTTTAGCTCTAAGAGGAGTATCACTATTTCTTCCAAAACTTTGCTGACGAAATATATGTATAAAAGAAACTAAACAATAGGCTTTCTCCATTAGACCTTCAAAACAGGCTTGCTAATTTAAATGGAGAGAGGTCAACAAAAAGGCCACATACAAAATCATGGAGTACAGGGCAATGTCTAACATGGGCCTACACTGTGTTCACCATTCTGTTACACCTAAAATAGTTTCAATAAAATTAGCAGCATGATGCAAAACAAAATAGTGAATGGAGGAGAATTCAGAGCCAAAACATAGTTCCAATCCCCAATCTACCTATCAGCTTTATCCTGGACAAGTCAATTAACCTTTTGGGCCACATGGTTCCTTCACCTTTCAAAGGACAATGACACATGGAAGATAACAAGATTACTGTGAGGCTCAAATGAAATAGCGAAATCAAAAACACTTTATAAACTATAATTTTTATTAACACAGTTCTATTAATTTTTATTAACTCAATTTAAGCAAAACTATTCGACAAGTAAATTTTCAAGTCATCCAAGACCTATTTCTACATGAAAGGGACGATTAGATACAAATGCTTCTCTATCCATGCTAAGTAAGACCTAAAAAAACAAAAACAAAAACAAAGCAATTAGAGAATGTAGAACATGGTTTCAATGGCATGTTTTGGCTGTTATGCAGCATTCCATTCATTCAACAAATGCTTTTTTTAGTACCTCAACCTCACTCATAAAGGAGGAATACAAACTTAAAGGTTACTATAAAATTATTTTTCACCTATCAGATCGGCAGAAATTCAAAAGTTTGATTGCACAGTCTATTGGTGAGCCTGTAAGGGAAAAGCCACTCATACATACCAAGTGGGAATGTAAACAAAGACAGTTTTGCAATATCTACCAAAACTATAAGTACGCATTCTTTGTACTTCCACTTCTTGGAAATTTACCCCATAGCTAAACTAGCACTCATACAAAAAAACGTACTTATGAAGTTAGTCAAAGCAGTACTGTGCATATGACAAGAACCACCTAAATGCCCACCAACAGAGGCCAGTTAAATAAATTCTGGTACATCTATTCAATGCAAAAATATTCAGAAAAAAAAATTACGGAAGCTCTCTGTGAACCAATATGGAAAAACGTCTAAGGCATTTTAGGTGAAAAATGGAAAGCACAGAAATATATGTAGTTTTGTACTATTTTTAGTTGTATTTGCATAAAGAATCTCAGAAAAGATGAACAAGAAATGTAGAACCGTAGTTTTTAGGCTGGGGTAAAAAACTAGGGAATGGGACAGGTGAAAGAAAGAGTTTAAGCCTTTATATATATTTTGAACCATGACTGCATTAGCTATTCAAACAATTAAATGAAAAAAATATACGAGGGTTTACTCTGTGCCAAGCATTGTTCCAAGTGCAGTGAACAAAACCAACCTAAAATCTTCTGGATTATATAGAGTTAATCTTCTGATGTATTCAAAGTAGCTGGCTGGCATTCCAGGAAAGGACAGGCACTCAACATTTTGTGGGTAAAAAAAGAACTATGTCTAAAGAACAAAACTGATTTTATAAAAATTCCAAGTTTAAGAGGGAATCACAATTAGAACCTAGCTCTTCATCCATTAACACATTAACACGGCTTTGTTCTTTGGGGATGTGACGATTTGAACTACCTAAAAAGTAGGCAATCTCCCAAGAGCACTAAAAGATGTCAAAAGTCAAAAAATCTCACACATAACTTCTTAGGATCTGCTGTGAATTCAGCCAACATAAAAGAATAACTTAGAAATCAGTATTTCAAATATTCTCCCCCGTAAAAAAAAAAAAAAAAACAACCTTTCTTTTAAAACTAAGAAATGATGCCACTAAACAGGTGGTACGAGTGGTTTTGTGAGAAGAACCAAATGGCCCTCTATCGTGGCATCCTACACCGAGGGCCACATAATGATCAGGAAATGAATATCTGGGCTTCTCATCAGAGGTCCAATAAGGTAAGGTGGATTAACTAGGCTTCCTAAGGAAAGAGCTTCCCAGTTCCTCCTATGGTAGTTAAAAGTTATAAAGTCTGACTTGTGTGCCCAAAAGAGGACCATAGATAGACTTCATTCAACCATGACATTTTGGAGTAGGCATTAACTCTCAGAATTATCAGTTCACTTATTTTAGGGATAAATTAAGCAAAGCTCACAAGAGGAACTAAATGTCCTAGCTAAGGGACTTGCCAATTAGTGACAGACTCCACCACTAACAGAGACTTCCCTGTGGTCTATACCAGCTATTCCCTAACTATGAGAATGAGCATTTCATTGAGGGAACTTTTAACTTCTAAACTCAAGAT